TTTTTCCCGCCTCATTCATAACCATTCACCTCACTGGCCTGTCACACCATATCGCATTATATCAGAGCCATATCTTGAACCTCCATCCCCCCACCAAGTGTTGATCCAAGATGCATGCATGCCTGTGTGTTGGCAGAGGGTGACGGGGAGGGTGCTGCTCCTCTGGGGGCTGGGGGGATCGGGATCCCAGCCACAGAGCTGACAAACTTTAGCTTATGCACAATTCAGATTGCATTGTCAGCAATTTTTCCATTTTTGACTTTTTCCACATGCCAACTTTTCCACAAGCTATTGTTTTTCCCCTATTTTTTTTTCGTTCCACCAGAGCCAGGACCAGAGCGCGAAGAAGACATGACAAATGATGTCAGCGCTCGTGCATAGTTTCCGGATACTACTCGTAGACGAGGATGGGGATGGGGGGGCGGATGCGAATGCGGATGCCCTGACAGTGTTGAAAAATGTGCGCAGCAAAATCAACACAAACATTCGCAAGAGCAGCCGCACTCGGGCATGACATGTCGCGTTAAAAGTTTTTCCAATGCAAAGAATCCGAAACGAAACGAAACCAAACGAAAGGCAAAAGTCCAACACTCTCGAGTGCAGTGCGGGAGAAAGTTTCTCTGAATCACATGAGAGGGCATTGATTATCATAATTGAAATAAGCTTCAGATCAAAAGTCAAACAGCAAACGGATGATGGGATCATTCAGATTCGAAATGGGTATCGTTAAGGGGGGGGAGAAATATAAAACTTCTTGGCTATAAATTACGTATACGCTGTGTCCACAGATCGTAGTTCTTGCATGATGCAATTCTGAAGGATTAGAGAGGTAAAGGTCCTACCTCCCAGAGCCATGGTGCATCTCAAGCGAATCGTAGTTGCTCTTTGCTTTACGGCGACGACGCATCTTAAATGTAATTTGCAATTGAGGCAAAACGCAGCAAAGCACAGGATTACGAACTCAATGTCCAATCTGCCTTTGCCCCCCGCTCTTCTCCAGTGGCTAATTATACCAGTCTGCCTGTCTGCCCAGACTGCCTCTTTGTCCGTGTGCGTGTATCTGTGTGGTGTGTGGTTTGTTGCGCTTAATTTGACTTGCCACAAAATGATTTTACAGGGCGCTCAGGCCGTAATTAAATTTTGAGAGGATGCTTGGCCCTGGATTTCGATTAGCATTCTCCGCAATTTAAATGAAAAATCCACAACTTTTCATGCAACTTGTGCAACTTCTTACGCTTCGAGGCAGATATGTGTCAATAACGGCACTAGATGCTGGCTCAAGCACTTTGCAACTTGCAACGCCAGTCCCCGTTCGAGTCATAAACCTAAGTAACTTAAGGCAGACAATGCCAGGCCGCCAGAGTGAAAGCGTTGGAAAGTTCTCTGGTGGGGGGGGCGGGGGATGCGGGCAATTGGCCAAGTTATCATAGAAATGAGTTATTTGTTGGATCCATCATCATGAATGCATAAAGGAGAGAGCGAGTAGAGACAGAGAGAGAGAGAGTGAGGGGAGCGGAACTTAAAGGAGACCCTGGAATGGAGAGGAAAACCCTGTAAAGGCACCGACGACTGACCGCGTCCACATAATCAAAAAGCAAATTGCATGGCACGAAAAAAATAAACATAAATTTCATCTGCAGACCGTAAAGCAGCGAAAAACGAGGAGAAACAAATAAGGCTACCCATGGCCATAGCCGCCACCCCCCACAAAACACAGAGAGCGGAAAAGGAAAGGAGCGAAATGAAAGCGTTTGGCCGGAAACCAGAAACTTGTTAACAAAATTGCTTCGAGTTCATTGACAGTTGATTGCGCGGCAGCAAGTGCATTGCGCGGGAGGGAGGAGGAGGGGAAGGGGGAAAGAGTCTCTGAAACGGGTCTGAAATACTTACCCGATCATATGGCAGGAGACCCTGCTCATTCCGCTTTAACCCGTGCTAAGAAATAAATCTAAAGTAGAGAAGATTGACTTTCTGTGGGTATTAGATGGCAGATTTATGGTAGAAATGCTGACAATTCCACGTTTGAGATGATTTTCAATAGATAAGTAGATAAGGTAGATACTTTGAAGCTTATGAAATGTTCTTCCACCCGTTGCATGGTGTACCCTCGCACAGCATGCTCATTCCCATCCCTCGATTATAGGATATAGAAACCGTAGTCTACTTAAAAGGGCGTCCCCGACAACGAAATTCATTATCAAAGATGCCCCAAGGCAACGGATGGTCGAGAGGGTAGGAAGAGAGTAAAGGGCAGCCCAGCCTTGAAGGAATCTCTCCTTAAAGTTGGCAGCACACCACTTAATGACCGTCCCAGTGGGGGAGGGGGGCGAAGGACGAAGTGGCCACTGAAATGTCACCTGGCGCATGCCTCGTGGGCAAGTAATTATGTTTGATGGCTGGAAGAAGTTCTCTCTAGCCCTCCGTCTCTCTTACAGACAGTCTCCCGCAGATTATAATGCAAACCTTTTTTATCCTGTCTTCTATTAGTGGGGGGAGGGGGGCCGCATATCTTTCTCTTGTATCTGTTTGAATCACAGCAAAATTAAACTGTTGTCAACTTCATTGTTTTCAATGGAAGATACTAACGACAAAACATAACAGATTAGGCCCATGGAGGTCCTCACAAGAGTACAGCCATGGAAGGAGCTTCACCACTTCTCATACTATTCCTCTGTTGATCCTCTCAAGCAATTTTGGGCTTCAATAACGGTTTAAAACGGTTTAATGGTGATCGTGGTGTGGTGCCATCTTATGCTGAATAGCACAACTAGAAAAACGAAGGCGTCACCTGGGGGAGGAGAGCGAAAGTTCTGTGCGATGAGTGGATGGTATTTTCTGTATTTTGTCGATGTTTTAGCTCAACTCCATGTGTCCTGTGTTCTATGATGAAATACAATATTCTATTTTATGCATGGTATATGTTTCTATGACCCTTCTTTAGTAAGGAACATAGACATAGACTGTGTAAAAAATAGAATATTATAGTAATAGAATAACTCTTATATAATATTTTATTTGTATCATAGAAGTATTGTTCGTATGTTTCTATGTTCCTTGCTATAATTTTCGTCGCTTTACTTCTGGTTTTTTTTACTTCTAATTTTCCACGATTGGTGGCGCCTCAGGTGTATACATAGGTATATTTATATACACGTGTCGATTTAAAAAGGATATACACGTGTAGATATAAAAGTGATCACACTTACTACACATGATGGGTTAGCAGGTGGAGAAGGGAAGGAAGAGACAAATGCTGACAAGTATGACATAGTATGACAAAGCTTTGTAAAAGCTTTTGTATGAAGCTCTCAGCTGCCTTGGCTTACGTGACGCCGCTCTCTCATTTTTCCGCGCGCGATTGAAGGATCAACAAGTAGCTCCGCGTTTTTTGCCGTTTCGATCCGGAAAAACTGGAAAATCGTCGGAAAATATTGTCGCGCGGTGTCGCCGGTCGTGTGGTGCAGTGCCGAAAATATTAAAATAATGAAAACGTGTTCCGAAACACAGCAGAAGAAAGACGGATCGCCGTCAGTGTGTGAAATATGTGCAATGGCAGTGCAAAACGTGTATTACATATTTGATGTACTAGAAAACAGTTATTTTAATTGATTTATTACGTTTTTTCGGTCCAAAACGGCGGCCTCATCCCGCTATAAGCAAAAAAGAGCGGGGTCGGGTGTATGGAATAAGCATTGCAAAAAATAACGGTACTAGATGTTTCTAAGTGAAAAAGATGCACAGCAACATGTTGATAGAATACAGGTGAGTGAGTAAGTCGAGGGACATGAGGAAGTGCTCAGTGGCGCCATAAACGTGTATTTCCTGTACCCTCTCATAGGTGGCGCCCACTGTATCCCGCCACAGTGAAAATTCAAATAGAAAAGAAACAAATTTTATTCGTTCAATTTTTAAATTGATTTTTGTATAATTTATTTAACGCTCAAATGAATGCCAAATACTTCACAATACTCGAATATGCCATAACGATTTCATGTCCTGTATTTCAATACTCTCTTGTTCGATACAATTGTCGTACAAAACGGATAAACATAAACACAATATCTCAGATACTATGTGCCATTTGTTAATAATTTTGTTTTTATTTGTTATTTAGGTATTTTATGCGTATGTGTGCATTGTCAATTTTCACTAAACGTCAAACGAAACGATATGCATTTCCTATATACTCGTACTCGTATGAGATAATATTGTATATGTATTTATGTATTTAATATGTTTTTTTTGGGGGGTCTTTCATTGTAAAATGTTCAATTTTTATTCCACTTTGGAGCCTTCTTGATTTTTGCTTAATTTAAAGACACATTTTTGTCAATTTTTATATAGATTTTCTTCCGATTAAAGTCTTCAAACGGTGCCCTTAAACAGTGTAAATATATATATAGAAAAGTTCTGTGTCGAAATGAGGAAACAATGGAAACCATATCCAAAAGAAGCTGCGGTGACATTTTTTGCAAGGCAAATGAAATGAAAATGTAAATAGTTGTTTCGATTCGAATCTTTGATTTAATACTATGTACAGATACAATAGATCTATCTCCATCTCCACTGATATATGTATATAGGAACGATACACTCCAGGGGTCGATGGATCGTTGATGATAGTGGAGCTCTTGGATTCCCTCTAAATTTGTTGTATGGATGATGAGTCTATCTAAGGCTTGAACTAGTTTTCGAGGATAGTTATATCCAACATTTAGTAACATTTTGGTGCATTTCATTCTACGATTTTAATGGAATTACTTTCGTTAATCTCATCTCATCTCAGCGTTCGAAATAAGAGTTAAATTGAAACACAAAAATCACATTTCACATGAAGCACACACGCACACAAATCGAATGTATTTTTTTCGCTTTGTCTTTTACATATACATACATACATATGTATCTTCTAAAATAATTGTATATTTTTTTGTTTATATATATTTTTGCATATTTATCATAGTATTTTCATTAGTAGAATTTTGTTTAGCTGCTTGATTTATTTTGTATCCATTTAAATAACTTGAAGTTTTTCTCGTTTTGTTTTTTTTTTTACGTTTGTTCGTTAAATTATATTTATAATTTAAGTATAATACATTTTGTACAGATTTAAAAATTAGGCTAAATTATAAAAAAATGTGAAATTCCGCACACACGTGACAAATTCATTAAAATAATAATAATAAGACGAGTGTTTCCTATATAGCAGATATAGCAGTATATGTATATATATATTATGCTTAGAGTGGGATCGATTGGAAGGGATATTACCAAAGTATAATACAGATTCTGTGGGAGAGTGTAAAAGGATTGAGTGCTGCTGCTTAGTGCTGGTCTTTATTCTTCTTTTTCGTTTTGTGGGTAACTTGGTAGCTTGGTCAATTGTTGGTTGGGTTCTGGCCTAAAGAACAAGACCTAAAGTTGGTGCTAAGAGTGGGGCTTATAGATAGATCTACAGATCTCGCTCGCTCTCTCTCTCTCCTCTCTCTCTAACGTATCTTTTATTCTATAAGCTGTTTAAGTGGGGAATGGATTCTTGTATGCGTATCTTTCTATATTTCAACATTAGTTATGTCTGCGTTAAGTATCTGCGTATCTTCTGTGATAACCATCCATCCATCCTGCATCCTGCATCCTTTATCCCGTGTGCTTGGCCGACTGTTCTGCTCCTCCTCTACTCGCCTCTGTGTTTTTTTCAAGTGAACCACACTTTGACCCCCTCGTGATCCTGTGATCCTGCGACCCTGTGATCCCCCTCTACAGCTGCACCTGGAATGTCTGCGCCGGCGCCTTGGGCGGAGAGATGAACGGATTGGTGCTGTGCCTGGCATGCATTGGCGAGCGTGAAGTCCCACCAGCGACTGGCATATCCGGCGACAGTTTCTTGGCCGCCGCCACATTGGCCGCCCACTCAGCATCGAACGGATCCTCGGGTCCGCCTCCTCCACCGGCGGAGGCACCTCCAGCGGCCAGGGTCTGAGCGCGTCCGACATTGGCCAGGTAGGTGGGCCTCTTGGGTGGTGCTGCCGGTGCCGCTGGCGATGTACTACGCACCACCTGTCCCAGCCATTGATCTGCGTTGGGCAGCTCCGCGGCAGCAGCAGCCGGGTCCGAGCTCTGCTCCGATCGCGTGGGCGACTGCGAGGAGAGCGACTGATAAGTGGGCGTGGTGCTTACCACGCGGGGCGTCACCTGCGCCGTGGGAGCGGCACTGTATGAGATTTCTCGGACCTGATCGTGCTTCTCGGCCGCAATGATGTTCTGGTTGACGCTGCGGTTGTTGTTGAAGTTCAGGTCGTCGCCGGCCGCGGCGGCCAGCATGGCGTCCGTTTGGGTCAGCAGCGAGAGACCCTGGCTGAGCTCCTGGCACAGCTGACTCACGGAATCTCCGGCGGACTTCGCCGGCGAGACCTCGGCAATGGGGGAGACACTGCGGAGGGGCGTGTGCAACGACGGATTGCCGGCAGCGGCGGCCAGGAAGGCCTTCTGGCGATCGGCGTTGGACGGAAGATCGTTGACGCGCAGCGACATTTGGCGCTTGAACGGCGACTGGCTGCCGATGGTGCTCAAGCGGAAGGATCCCTGACGCTCCAGCATGTTGGGCGTGGCATGGGGTCGCTCGATGGCGAACGGATTGAACGGCTTGACGGTGGCTGCTGGCGGCCCCATCACCGGAGCGGACATCGGCCCGTCCACGCTCCTCTCGTTGGTCCCCACAGTGGCCATGGCCAGGCGCTCGGTCAGCGTCTGCTGCCGGAAGGAGCCAGTCCTCGTGAACGTCGAGTTCTTCGTGTCGAAGGTCATCGTCACGCCGCACTCCTTGTCCCTGCGCTGCTTCCGCTCCAGGCACACGGCAAAGGCGCAGCCCACCGCATGCGAGAGACGCTCCCCGGAGTCCTTGCACGCAAGGAACCCGTGACACATCCACCGTCGCGTGGTTCCATCACGACAGATGTAGCTGAAGCCGCGCTCGTGATTGCGATCTGGGGCACAGAAGCTGACCTTCTCGATGGTCTGGTCCACAATCAGGCCCTTGGTCTCGTCATCCACCACACGCAGGCCATCGCCACTGACATGAAGGAGTCCGCGGACAGGACGACGACGAGATTGCTGCAGGGAAAAGGATAGTTAGTGGGGGTTTCCAGTGGAAGAGAGGAGATGTCAACCATTTCAAAAACTTACCCTCAACACCTTTAGGGCCTCCTCGCAGACCTGCATGCCGCGCGACTCGAAGACCTCCACACAACCGAGATATTTCACCGAGAAGGAGCAGGTGGCCGATCGGACGGCCTCCTCGTCGGCCTGCCACTGATGCGGCTTCGAGGATTCGGGGACGCGATCCTTGCGCCGACGAAACGAGTCGCGAAAAGAGCGACGCAGACGATCCATTTTCTTTGGGGATTTTTTACTAAACCGAAAGGAGGCGGATTTCTATGCAGAAGAAGGGTACAGAATGGGTGAATAAATTAATACAAAATGCACAAAAGAGAGCACAAAACAGAGAGACAGAGATCGAGACAAGTGCAACCCCGAGAGGTGGGCAGAGAGAGGGGGAAACCTACCCCATTTTTAACATCACCGAATTTTCCGCGTGTGAAGCCGCGCTCCAGTGGTTCGTGCGTGTGTGACGATGAGTTTCCCATGGCTTTTGCCTGCTGTCTCTTTCGGTCTTTCCTTTAAGCGTATATCCTTCACACTCGCACACTCACACACACCAAGGTCTCTGGTCTCGGGTCTCGGGGCGTGAGTAAATTCTGTGGAATAACCGTTACGAGCTTCCGTTCGAGAGCAGAAAGCGTTGCCAGATGCCAGAGTACTTTTCGTTTGTTCTTTTTGTTGGATTCGTTTATATTTATTGATTTATTTATTGGATCGTTTGAGTTTATTTATTTGTTCATTGAATTTGCGTTATGCTTTTTGATTAGTTCGATTATTGATTCAATTAAATTGATGGACGATCTGGAAGTAAAGTGTGTAGAAGAGTGTGTAGTTTTCTGGTCTTTGCTGGAATGACGGTGGAACTCTTTATCTGCTTTGACGTTTTCAATGACTCACATGACCCTCTGCGTACTCTAAGTATTCCCCCCTCTATCAACAATTGACACATGAAAGCACTTTGGGGCTACAGCTTATCGTAAATGGAGCATTGATTCGCAGGCAACGCCCCCCATTAGCCAGATCAGCTGTGCTCGGGCAGGGAGTATTACGAGTCCTCCAACCAACCAACCTTCACGCATTTACTGCAACTACAATTCAAACTCAAGAGAGAACTCAGAGAGAACGACCTCCGTCTGTCGGTGGGCGGTTGGATGTCGTGTCTCACGTAATTGTTTGCCCAGAGATATAGTATATTATTCTTTTTTTTTTTATATATAACATATTTCACTTTTATTTGCTTTTGGGAGGGCTCTATGGGGGCTTTTGTTTTCCCAGCGATGCGGCGACAGCTTTCTGACATTTTTGTGACTTTATCACATGCCTCATATTGCGGTAAACGCGCTGCTTCACTGCCTGATAACTGTAGTATCAGTATCAGTATCGTAAGCGTCTTTCATTATAAAACAGAAATCACAACAGAATTGTGTAGATTTTCCTTTTGAATAATGCGCTTTTTGGCTTGACTTTTGAGTGATTTCTACTAAATTTTAGTTTGTATTTTTGTGTAGCAAAAACAATCAACATTCTATTCTGAACAGCAATTGTCTGTTTGTGTTTTTGTTAAATAAGTCCAAGATAAACTTCAAAAGTCAAACAATGTTACTATCTAATATTTAAATGAAATAAATAAGGCTTAATCTTTCCGTTTGTTTGTCCTTCTGTCTGGAGATCTTTCTGGTGGGAGATCTGGTTGGGACCTGCTTACCCGAAGACCTGAACTTTCCATTGAGTTTCCACGGGGGTTTTCACATTAGCCAGGCCATGCTAATTGGCCAGAAACACAAACAGTGTTTCCTAATTGAGCTTATAGCTTACTATTTACGGTTTACTGTTTACCCAACTTATCCAAGATGTTCGTGTTGTTCGAAAAGTTTCGAACGTTTTCCGAATTCCATTGCAACTTTGGGGCGACTTTCTTCTTGCGGCAGGGCCCGAAAACCAGTTCTCCCAACAATTTTATTTACTTAAAGATGGCCCGAAGTTTGGTTCTTGTCGGTTCTTTGGTGACCACAAGGGCAATCCCACAATTTGTTGGCTTTGGCTCTGGTTTTTCTCCGTTCATTAAAAGGCGTTCGACAGAAGGGCGTTGACTCTTTGGGGGGCATGGGATGCTGTTTGACTGCATTTTTCCCCACAGCACGGAGATGGCTAATCTCTCGAAAGAAAAAGGCTATAAACGATTTTCAAAGTGGGTCAGAGAGGATTTAGTGGCCAAAGAGTGGGCAGACATGTTTGGCAGAATAAAATAAATTATTTAGGGTTTAATTTGGTTGAACAACTGCAGGACCTTTTGCCAAGGATTTGTAGAAAAACCTATAAAAAAAAACTCCAGAATTTCTGCTAATTTAGAAACCCATTTAAAAAATCCAATAAACCCAAGGAAATACCTCGTGTAAAAATTCGAAAAGACCATAAAAAAAAAACACCACTTGAGTCGAAACTTTCAGATACTTCGATGATTCATGGCCCAAAGAGCGGGGGAGATGAAAAGCGATAGCAAAAGGCCCCCACTAAAAACCAAATCACGCACTAAAAAGAGGCATGATTTCATAAATGACAACAACAATCGATCGGTGTATCAGAGGGGGGGGTGTCGGTTTTGGGGCAACACCAGCAACAACCGGAAGGGTTCATTCAACCAATAAGCCAGACCGACAGAAACCGAAACAGGTTCTCTCTACAGCCATAAAAAATCTCGCTGCGGTACGTGGTGTTTGCCCAAGAATATCAGACAGCCACAGCCACAGCCACAGCCCAGAGATCCCCAACTGCAGTTTATACTCTGATAAAACGAACGAAAAGAAATGTAATAATCATATGAAATATGGAAGGAAAGATATGCATGTCTACGGTTTTTTTTATCAGTGTTTATATTTATTTTTCCCTGCGTGCGTGCGTGGGGGGATTAATTTCCATGATTTAAGCAGATTAAACAAATCAAATCGATTAGCGGATGGCCCATGTTTGAAGAGGGTTCTGTTTGGGGGTTCTCGATTGGGTCTTTGAACGATGATCAGTCGCTCGGCCACAAATGAAACAAGTCTGCGCCCCTCATTGACCTTTAAGAGAGTGTCTACCGCCCACTAATTAATTCATTAACTCTTTGAGTTTTATGCTCAGTGGACCACAGACACCACACTACACCACACCATCCATAAATCATTGTATCATCATGCCTGGTGTCCCTCTATAGGGTGTTGTTCGTTGTGGAATGAATAGAGAGAGAGAGAGAGAGAGAGACTGCTGGAAAATGTCGTGACATGTTTTTAATTTAGCATTAAACAATTAACCCTGGAAACAAGCGCAGTCAATGACACTTTTATACATCGGTACACCATGTACATATATCGATATCTATATCTATCTATCTATCTGTATATTCGAGTAATTTGTATTGCATAACCACAATCAAGCTTCAATCGTGGAGTGGGTGGCAGAGAGAACGAACGCCCATCGCCCCCCAAAGTAATTAATTTTTGTTTTTTTGCCCCCAAAAGGCCAACGACACTTGTTGCACATTGCCCAGAGAGAGAGTGAGAGAATGCAGTGGGTGGTGTACGTGGGTGGGTGGGGGGTAAAATTGTCACCTAGGAAATCCCATTAGAAAAGTTTCCCCTCTCAATCCTTTATTGTGCAAAATTTCTATGGCAAAATGTAGGCTGTCCTGAGAGGCACAAAGATTAAATGGAAATCACGTACGAAGGGGCCCGGGCAGGGGACGAGAAGAGCCTGTGCCCTGGGATTGTAATGGGATTTTGCCAGGGCAAAAAATTGGATTTTCAAATGGCAAAATATGGGATATTGTGCAAGCTTGGAAATTGCAGACTGTAAATGTTGAAAGGGAAAGGGAAACCCATCTTCAAAGGGGCCTACCCTTTCTCATATTGTGTTCTTTGTTCTAGAAATTCCAGGAGAACAATGGAAACGCAATTCATTTGGTTGGAAATCTGTGCTTTCTCTAGCTTTATGTTCTGTAATCTCTTCCCACTCGAAAGAGTGCCTTCTCTTCGGTTACCCTACTCTAAAGATACTTGTAGTTCTTCCTTCACCTTTAACCCCCAACAAATACCCACACATGTACATGTTTCAGTGTCAAAACTTGCACTTGAAAATGCATTTTCACACGCTCCTCTTCTGTTGGTCAGAAACCGAAAGGATACACATCCTATGGCTTCCTTTTCTGTCGCTCTCTGTTTAGTTTTTTTTTTTTTTTGCCAGTACATGATATAAAATTATAATTATTCCCGCCAAACGACGCTACTGTCTGGGGCACACAGAAGGCACAGGGGCACAAGGGCACAAGGGTACAAGGGGCAGGGGCATGGAACCACCACCGAACCCACAGCAGAGCTGCCACTCGTCCTGTGAGGGTTTCCCTCGCTCTACTGCTACGGAATTTATAATTCTTTATGCTCTTCCTCCTCCTAGCCTTCTGCTGCAGTGTCGGTGGTCGTGGGAATTTTTTATTTTTTGTAAAATTTAGTACATTTTGAAATATTATAAGCCAACGTTTTGTGTGTCTGCTGTGAGGATATTCAGTGAAGCAATTAAAAGGCTCTCCCTCTCTCTCTCTCTCTCTCTCTCCTTCTCCTGTAAGCGATGCGGCTGTGTGTTCATTCCATTTTTTTATGGCCAGTGGGAGAGAGCGCTGTGCTCCCATGATAATGACTTCAATTAGGGGACATAATGAAGGTGCAATGAGGCATGAGACCCAAAGGATTTTCCAAGGATTTAAGAGAGGGAATTACTTGGGGAATTATGAGTGGCAGCCCCCCTTAAACATGTATCATCATATTCTTTACATTTCTTATCCATTCACGTACTTCTTAATTCCCAAAAAAAAAAAATTAAATATATTAGATAACCTTTTCCGTTCAAACACTGAACTTTTGGCAAACAAACGACGAAAATTTGTCGCAAGAAATGCAATAAATTCCAAGCTTATGCGTAAATCTTTCTGCAAATAATTAATAATCCCATGGGGGAGGAAGGTGGTTTGGAAGCCAAACATATGCACAAAAAAAGTCGTAAAGAAAAGCTACGTTTCATCATAAATCAAAACAGAAGAAACCGCAAGGCAATGCTCCTCCTCCCTCTTCTGCTCCTCCGATTTGTTGGCTCTCTTCCTGAGTTTTTTGTTGGTTTTTGGTCGTCCCTCTCTTTCTATATTTGCAAGGAAATTGCAGCAAAAGCCGAAAAAAAAGATCTCTAAAGACGCTGAAGAATGTAGGGGTTGAGGGTAACCCTCGAGAGGGGAGGGTAGACATGAGACATGCGAATTTTTTATCTGGTGACGCATTAAAAACCGTTCATTCGATAGAAAAGGGTAGGAAAATGTTTGCCAAAAAACAAAGAAGAAGGAGAAGAAGAAGAAGAAGTTTCTTTCTTGAGATGAAAGGATCCTTTTGATCTTGAGAGAATCCCTCTCTCAGCCGAGAGGTTACTCATGCATGGATATGGGATTGGGATTTGGACTGGGATGGATGCTTAGATATTTCACACGCTGACCCAAAATGCACCCTTAACTAACGAGGGGAATGCGAAGGGGAATGGCGAGTGTGAGGAGGGAGGTAGGGAATTCCTATGCACCCATGTCCTCCTATGCAGGCGGTGAGTCCCGTCCTAATTGCCACCCGAGAGGGGAGGGAATGTGCATTACTCGTACGAGTATTGTTGAAAAAGTGTGCATAATTATTAGGCTGTCAATTTGGGCGGTGATCTGACCATTATATTCATAGGAATACCTGGTGCTATACGGGAATACATAGCCAAAGGTGAGAGAGCGGGGGGTTGGGGTGGGA